TCATGACCGATTATATTTGTTTTGAAAAACGGCGGGGTAAGAACGCGGTTTCAGTTTTCAAACACCAAAAACATTTTTTACTAAAATAACAACAAGGACATCAACAGCATAAGGTAAAGTTTCATGAACTTCTAACAGTAAAAATGGTAACCTTAAGCTCTGAACTGCTGTTCTTGGTTTTGTGAATTTCTCTGTTGTTGGACCGTGGTTATCTGTCTAGAAATTGAGGCTACTGTTGCATTTTATTTCAGGAGCCTTGTATCTTTGCTACGGGAGTTATTAGCCAGTGCAGTCTTTTTATCAGCAGCTGACAAACTTTCCGACCCTGTAAGTTGAAAAAAGAGAAAAGAGGGCGGAATTTAGTGGCTTTAACCCTTCAAGTTCCCAGGGTGTTCAACATATATAATCAAGGGAAAGGCTGCTGTGACAATAAGTTATGTTATCACCTAAAGGCTGGTTTTCACCAGCGATGGAGTCGAAGTCGTGATTAGAAGCGTAGAACTTTACGATCTAGTGAAAACAGCGTTGTGATCCTTCTGATTCCGCTTACTACTCCGTCGTTTACGATCAAGTAAAAACTGGGTCGTTGGAGTCGCGAGCAGAAGCGGAAGAACTAAACCAATCACAAAGCGCGGGAACGAGCATTATGATTGGTTTATCTTTCCGCTTTTGCTTCCGAGTCCGACAATCTGGTTTTCACTAGATCGTAAGCGACGGAGTCATAAATGGAGTCTGAAGAAAATGGAAGCGTTCTGATTCTTCCGACTCCGATTCCGTCGCGCTTATGACTCTGCTTACGACTGCAATTTTTGATTTTCACTGAATCATAAGCGTGAAAACCAGCGTTTACGTAGCATGCATCATGGTATAGAAGTATACTGATGTATTACATCATCGAAGCCGAAAACCTCTGTTTTAAGTCCGTCCACACGTAAATGAGAAGCTGACGTTTTCAAAAATCTCCACTCTGGAGAAAAAAAGATGCCTTTTTCGGTGACCGTTTTCACGGGATACGTGTGGACGCCATGTAGGCCAAACCGAGGAAAAATATTCGTTTTCAAACAAAAACGGATACATGTGGAGGGGGGCCTAAAACTCCATTGTAAACACCAATAAAATACCAGGTGATCTTTTGCCAGAAAACATGATATCTTTACACGTGAAAATAACATGTTCTCTAATTTTAATGTGACAAGATCAGCGTTCCTATGGCTACACAATAAAACGATGCATGACTTTAAAGATGTTTATTTCTTCGTTTTAATAATTTAATCTGACTTCTCATTTCTTGAAAGGATTTTGTTAACAACTTTCTGCTGATATTGTTGGACAAAGAACCAGTAAGTGGGCCGTTTTAGCGTTTCTTCGGTGCATGTTATTTTAAGTTAACATAATGTCGTCAGCTTTTTTTGCTGCAGGAAATATTTTATTCACCCGTTGACGGCTCTAACTCGTTCAAACATCGCGCGGTAACGGTAAAAAAAAAAACAGTAGCCGCGTCATGAGCTTATTAAACCGTGGAGCCATCTACATACACTCCCACAGTATTATGTCACAGTCGGTCGAACATGACTTAGACATATCATTGTTTGCTGTTTTTGCCTGGCTCTTTGTTTTCCCGCGTTCAGACTGTTACTAATAGGATTACCGAGAAACGGCGAAAAGGTCTAATGTGCTTAGACTACGAGCAGCCTCTCTTTTTTCTTAGTCCGTCGAGCAAAACGCGCGAGACACGGAAATGACCACACGCGTGACTGAAGACGTGAGACGGGAGCCCTCGTTTCGCGCGTCTCGCTGCTTTTCCCCTCCCGCGCGCGTGCACTGCTCTCACTAAATCTGAAGAAAAAGAGAGACTGCTCGCAGTCTATAATGTGCTGTACGTTAAAGCGTGTCCTTTATTTAGAAATTAGTGAGTAACATCTGAATCTAACATCAGTTCTGACTTTTTTGCCCTGCAGATGGTGGCTTCTGATGAGCCGCCGAGTCCTAAAGTTCCCCTACTAGCGAAGTTTGCCAAACCGCGAGTTCCACTTACAAACTCGGTAAGTCAATCACACCCTTGATTACTCCTACAAGAGTTATATGAGAGTTAAAGCCTGTGCGCTGTAAAGCTGTTACTGACGTCCGACGTAAAGTTTTATGAAGCTGGCTCAAGCTCTTCATTTTTCAACAGCCTACGTTACAGTGTGTGCTTACAGCGGTGATCATATTGGCGTGAACACCTAAAATATGTCTGGAATGTTTATTGTGATGTAACCAATCACAGACGAGATCATCACACCACAGAAACCACAGGCAACGAACGGTTTCCTATCTGTCACGGAACAAATTATTTTCATTTTGTTTTAACATTCAGTCTTTTTACAAGTAAACAATTGCTTTTCCTTCCTATTTGTTTACAGTATTTGCTATAATAGCGAAGAATACAGGTTTGAGCGATTTTGAAGTAAATTACAAAGCCGATGTGCCGGGCCTACGCACGCGACGGTTTGGCGCGCGAGTTTTCAAACTTTTTGTAACGATCGAAATCGGTGGTTACGCCTGATCGTAGGGAGTAGATAGTAGTTCGAAGGTTCAATCGTTAGTTCACACAAATCGAATCCCCTTGTTCTACAAAAAAATATTAGCAAGGATTGTGCTATCAGAAACGAAAACATCACGATTGTTCATTTTTTATTGTCTTCATGTGATATGTCGTTACATGGAAAGCTGGTCGCCGTCGCGTCGCGTTGGCTTCTAACACTTTTCTTTCTAAAATCGAACGATGTACTGGATGCGGTCCTCGGCACTGATCTTGGGGAACAGCGGTGTTTTAAATTCCTAATAAGGCAGTTTGTATCCTTAAACAAAACGAAAATAATTTGTTCCATGACCGATCGGAAACCGTTCGTTGCCTGTGGTTTCTGTGGTGTGAAGATTTCCCCTGTGATTGGTTGCAACATAAACATTCCAGACATATTTTAGGTGTTCACGCCAATATAATCACCGCTGTAANACGGTTTCCTATCTGTCACGGAACAAATTATTTTCATTTTGTTTTAACATTCAGTCTTTTTACAAGTAAACAATTGCTTTTCCTTCCTATTTGTTTACAGTATTTGCTATAATAGCGAAGAATACAGGTTTGAGCGATTTTGAAGTAAATTACAAAGCCGATGTGCCGGGCCTACGCACGCGACGGTTTGGCGCGCGAGTTTTCAAACTTTTTGTAACGATCGAAATCGGTGGTTACGCCTGATCGTAGGGAGTAGATAGTAGTTCGAAGGTTCAATCGTTAGTTCACACAAATCGAATCCCCTTGTTCTACAAAAAAATATTAGCAAGGATTGTGCTATCAGAAACGAAAACATCACGATTGTTCATTTTTTATTGTCTTCATGTGATATGTCGTTACATGGAAAGCTGGTCGCCGTCGCGTCGCGTTGGCTTCTAACACTTTTCTTTCTAAAATCGAACGATGTACTGGATGCGGTCCTCGGCACTGATCTTGGGGAACAGCGGTGTTTTAAATTCCTAATAAGGCAGTTTGTATCCTTAAACAAAACGAAAATAATTTGTTCCATGACCGATCGGAAACCGTTCGTTGCCTGTGGTTTCTGTGGTGTGAAGATTTCCCCTGTGATTGGTTGCAACATAAACATTCCAGACATATTTTAGGTGTTCACGCCAATATAATCACCGCTGTAAGTTCATCTCGTTGTTTTAATTTGCAGGCTCTTCATTTGTCAATAGCAGACATTCTTCACGCACAATCCGCCTTGTTTCCTTTCATGCAGTTTATGAAAAGTGAAGGAGCATTGAACATACTTCAGTTTTGCCTCACCGTTGGTATGATAAAAAAAATGTTCAATGGAAGAATCTCATCCCAGTTGCAAAAAGAAAGCCTGAAAAATTCAGGCTTGAATAGATGATTCAAACTTTTGACCTGTGCAATGCCAGTGCAGAGCTCTGCCAGTTGAGCTAACAGGCCAACTGGGAACCTGAATTTTGAATGTCAGGCTTTCATTTCGTATCTCCAATAGTTGCGTCTGTATACTGCGATGATCTTCTTTCATTTAATACAGAGACACACATAGACACTGAGATCAAAGATTTCAAAATGACATAGAGAATATACACTTCTTCGTCCATTCTACTTTGTTCACGATAACGTCCTTTCAATAAAGGCATGGTAGACTTACCCTGAGATCAGGCTGTCTTTTTGTCTCACTTGGTAAATAAACATGATAAAATTCCGGTGGAAAGGTCGAAACGAAAACTGGCCTCAGCAGCTTAATCGTTTAAGACTAGTTATTTCAGGCCCAATTTTGGCACGACTACGTAAGACTGATGAGAGAAGGCATGAAAGCTGCTAATGTAAAATTGGGCCTGATCTCAGGTTAGGTAGACTTAAGTAAATTTGTGTTTATTTGACCAGTGATTAGCGCTTTTCGCGCTCTTGAATATCATCTGCTACTCACCTCTACTTTGGTGCTATATTTATTATTCCAGAGGACTTCAATAAGAGAATTTTCACTCCAGAAATAACAAAAGAAGAAGAGGTTTTGCTCATTAAAGAGGTGAAGTAGACTTTGCATTTTATTTTAGAAATGACGAGAAAGGCTTGTTGTACTGTGCTATTTCGTTTACCTGATTTTCTACTAAATTTAGTCACTACATCTGCACGCCCATCCTGTAATTGTTGACTGAGATGATATATCTCAAAAAATCATAAAAGCTTTAGATTTAGGGTTCATATCTTGTGATGTTAGTTTTTATTTTTAGTCACTCCTTAAAATCAAGCCTTGTGATCCTTCAGAGGATTAGAAGACGTTCGCGTTTGTTCACTCTTCTCCGCATTTTTTCGCGTTTTTGTAATGTTGTTTTAGGACAGTCGCGCAGAGTTTTGTAAACTTGTGGGGCCAACGTCTCCACTTCATTTTTTTGGTATTTTAATTCCAGTGAGGTACAAAATAGTTGAGACATCATTACAGTACTTCAATTAATTTGGGCGACAACTGTAGCTTCACTTTTCTTCAACAGGTCAAAGAAATCTTCCGTTCCTACTTTGACACCGCCGCAGTTGATAGAATAAACTTTGACGCAGAAATCGTGAAAGAACTAAAATCATGTGAGTGATTTATATAGAACAACGCCTTTAAGCCTTCAAGCAAGCTCTCGGCTCGGGGACAGATACATCAAGGTGCAGGAGAGTTTGCTTGCAGCCTGAATTGGAATGATTTCTCTGGATATAATTCTCAGTGGGCCCCAAGCCAGGTATATCGGATGTAACTGGCTTGAGATATGAAAGAAAAAAACGATTTATTGTTGTGAGAGGAGCAGAAATTAGACCTCTTTATATGTCTATATTAATTCGGCCATTTTTCTTAATTGTAGAAGGGAAATGCTCTCCCTTAGGGTTGATTTCCACTGTGGCGTTTTTTTGCTTGTGTACGCACGTAAAAATTACGGAACAGTGGAAATCAACCCTTAGTTACAATTTGCCGAGATATCATGAGTTTAATGCATCGCTACTTATTTTCTCAGGCTACACTGATCAGGAAGATTAGCCGTGGCCTTTGCTTGATTCTCTTTCCCTTCTCTTTTTTTCCTGTTTTCTACTTTTAGTGGTAAAATAAGCAGAATTGATGTCCCTGTGATGATGAATTTCTGTAAAACCGACATCGCTATAATAACCATCTTCTAAAATTCTTTCTGTTAATTGTAGGTATTAGCGGCAATGTTGATACGATGGAACGATTAAAAATGGCAACGTTGTTATCCAGGTATAGGTTTGTTTAAAAACACAAAAAGAAAAAAACTGCGACTAAGTAACCCGCGTATCGTTGATCTACCACCATAAAGACGCTAGAGGTCCGGGACGCTAGAGGTCAGTTTTGATTAAGTTATGTTTTGAAAATCTTCTTCAACGTATACCTGATCTTGATTGAAAGGCCCCGCGCCAAATTCTTACACCATATGAGCCTCTATAAAAATGGCTTCTTCGCCGATTTTTTTGATAGTCCATTACCGAGTTCCAAAAACTCTCACTTTTAAAACGAGGCTAAGTGCAAAACCTTTCTTGTGAAAATGAGTTTTATTTGCATGAAAATAAAAACTCATTTTCATATCAATGTCTTATCGCACTTAGCCTCGCCTTGAAATAGACGCTTTAGGCAACTCAGAAATGGTCTTTTGTTGCGTACGTTGTGCATTCTTAAGAATGAGCGTCAGACAGTTAATTTGCTATCTTGAGCGATCTTGAAAATTGACGGTGGTTTTCTGTTTGCTCAATAATGCATTTGCATTGTTAAGACCATTTTAAATGAAAACTTTCACATTTTATCTGTAACTTACCCACTAATTGAAATATGACTTTCTTACTGATTTTTCAGAGCCTATGAATATGCGTATAATCTTCTGGAGACAACGTTTCTTCCTCTATTTTATCAAAGCGATGATGTAAGTACCATCAACTGCCTCCTTGTACTTAAATGCGGCAAAACGCATACGATCAAGCCACTCTGATTATTTTTACTCTGTTATTGGATGAGAGAGTGGCAGGAGATTTTTAAGCCAGAAGTAAAGAATCCAAGAGATCGTTGATCACTTTCGAAAATTACTCGAACACTACTTTGAGTCATCAACAATTCTTCCTTACTCTACCTGATAGGGTAAAGTGGGTACTGAAACATGCGTACACACGTCACAGCACAGTCACGTCACACACGTCTCAGCCCCAGCTATGCGAGTAAGCGTTAGAGACTCAGGCTTCTCTCGACAAGCTTGACGGTTGACGTCACATCCGATCTCGCTGAGGACGGCTGAAGGCTATTGCGCATGTACATTTGGCAACCGTTGGCCATAACAAGACAAATTATGCTCTTTTAAAATATTTCTTTTAATTTGAGGGTATCTGCATTACTATAGTTCCCTTAAATATTGGGTTACTTTTTCTCTACAGTATTTTTCTTTGTTGTGTGGAAGCCGATTGCCAGCCAAACCTTTATACAAACCAGCGTCCAGGTAATGGGCCTCAAATGCCATCATGCTTGTGAGATGTTATTGAACGGTAAAAATTGTATAAAGGAGCTCGTCAGCTAATCGGAAGCCGTTTTCTCAATCTTGAAGCCACCTAGGCGAGTATTGTAACTGCCCCTCCCTCACTCCCTCCCCTCCGGACGGATACATCGTTAGTTGCTAGGAGTAATTTCCGTCTCTGTTTTTTGGTTAAGTACTTTCTTGTCTGAAACGTTGAGTTGAAAAAAATGCTATGCAAGTTTCTTATACAAGGAAAATGCGTTTGTTGTAGCCGTCTTTTATACTCCTAAACTATTGTATACTATACAAAACTACTATAGCTTCGTGGTCTCATTGAGGTTATTACTACTGCCTTTTCGCAGAGTTTCGAAGAAAAAGTTTGATCCCCTAGCGGAGTTTTCACGACTGGCAGGAAAGCTCAAAGATAAAATGATGAATCCAACAAAAGGTAATCACAGCTCGGTGGCCTTGATTGGTTTATAACATATCGACGGACACGGCGGGTTTCATACTGAACCAAACATTGCTTTTACATTGTTCTTGTAGCGGGGTTGGGTGGTTGCGGTTAGTCCATTTATCCCATCTAACTATGTGAAGTATTTAAATCAACAGAAAAGGCTTGACGATATAGCGGAAGTGATTTTCCTTATTCTTTTTTCCTGAATATTCAGAACGTTCCTTTTATTGTTTTTGTAAGGTGTATGTCTTTGAGCTCGTAATCCTGGTGAAGGTGTAGTTTTGATCAAGAGGGCGCTAGGTATTTCCTGATTTTAGCCTCAATGTTAAACTCCCAAACCCTTCGTCTGAATTGAAAAGAGTAGAAAAATGGGTGGGAATTAGACTTTGTTTCGTCCCTAATCCCATGCTGACAGATCGCGCCTCATCGCAAGCTACGGGTGATTATTTCTTTGGCTTTATTTTACAACTCTTACTCTTAACTAGATTTTTTCAGGATTCGTGGCAAATGAATCTAAAATTCGGCATTGTATGAATCCAATACGCCGGCACGGCGGGCAAAGTCGCGTAGTAGAACGCGGAAAGTGACAAATGGATCAGTGAATTGCCATTGCGTTGCTGTCTTTCATTAAATCCTTCGTTCCAACTTTGAGCCACAGCTAACTGTAAAATGTCTCCTAAATCTCTAGTTCGCTATTATGTCATGTATTAATCCTGATTTACCCAGGCACTGTAAACATGCGTCCGTTAATTTTTTTCTATAGATGATTCACCATACGAGGAAGACGCATTTGATATCCCAGATACACCACCGGTAAATATAACTCCTCACTACATTAGTCTCTTCTCAGTAGCTCAGGGTTCAAAGCTAATTTACACCGACAGAGTATTCGCTGGTGGTCACCCGGCCAGTCTCTTCACCCAGCCCTATTCCCCCAGAAATTCTCACAGTTTTGCGATGTGTGATCAGACAATACAGCAGTCGATCGCTACGACAGAAGAACGCTGAGGGAATAGTTTTCTCCCCTAATAATGACAACAGTGCTTTAAATCGAACCCACCAACCAATCACTAACAAACACGGTGGCTCAAATAGTCTCACTCAATTAAATCGACACTGTCCCCTGATGAAGACCTGCAGTACGCAGTCGAAACGTCTCGATAGATATATCTAAGTAACAATCGTAAGAAAAACGATTAACGAAACCATAGAAAGTCATTAGAGTCATTGGGCGTGTAGAGACCAAAAGCACCAGCATCTCGCGTCACTTTTAATGATGTCTCTGTTGGAAATTTAAGCGCGCAACAAATCACGGATCAAAACCCAACAAGAATTCTAGAGTAGTACCTTGAAACGCTACCATTTTGTTTCCTTGATGGTACAGATTACGATTTTTTGTGTCAGTGCTCCGTCGTCCACACGTCACTTTTTTTCCTCCTTTAGGATTTTGATTTGGAAAGCGAAGAAGAGATGGAATTGGAGGAAAAAGAATCACGCGATCTTAGCATGTGGAAGATAACTATTCCCCACGTGATTATGGAAACGAAACAGGTTTGTTGTGGTTATGCAACTATTTATAGTCAGAGAAACTTGAAATTTACGGCAGTTTTGAATTGATTAGGGAGAATTATTTCGCGATTGGTTAGAGCGAAAGGTGATATAAAACGGGCAACAAGAAAAAACGTTCAACTTTGCGCGTTTTACCACCCGCGAAAAAAAATCCTTGCAACGTTATTTGTTGCAAGACAGGTTCGAACGTGGGTGGTAAAACGCGCAACATCGCTATTCAACTCGTTTTGCAACAATGTTAAAAACCAGTTGCACGTTTTTGTTGCCCTTTTGTGCGTCAACCGGTCTACCTCAGACTCTTTCGATCTTGACGTTTGAAGTCTTTGGAAAACATAAGAAATGTTGAGAAGACCTCCGATTTCGGCCTCGTGGACTGTTGACTCAGAGCCCATTCGGGCTCGAGGAATAATTGTTTTAGTAAAATCCAAATAGTTGGCCACCAAAAATCAAAAATCCGGCGCTTTTCGCTACTAGTGGGCTATAACATATAGCCGAGTAGTAGCTAAACCAATCAGAACGCAGCATTGATAATAGACCACTAGTTGGATTTTACTAACACTTTTTATTATAGCTGTTAAAAAGTTTTTGCGATTCACCGAATACTGATAAGGATTAATAAGACTTTAACTTGTAGAGTTCCGCTTGAGTTTTGGCTACAGAATTTGTTTCATTTGCTTTACAGAAAGGCATCTTCATAATATCAGTTGAAAGAAAGGATATAACGGAAGGTGAATATTTTACTCCACAGTGTAGCATAAATACAGTTGTAGTAGCTCAGGCCTGATGTTGGCACCATTATATTCACATCAGAGCGACGTAAAACTCTCGAGAAAACTAAGAGGAAAAGATATGCTCTGATCTTAAATGTTTTCCGAAAACTGGTATTGTTGGTTGCATACAGCAAAGCAATTAGCCTTTACCAATGGTGTCTCTTGTTGGCGTGTGTTAAAAAGTTTGGAGATGTGTAGAAACTTGTACGTTAACAACTGTAAACTACTGTTTATTCGTTAACAAAGTTATCCACTCTCGGAGAGAGATAGGAGGGAATAAGTCGAAGAGGACCCTGGGTTCGAAGTTGATGCAACCGTTTTTTGTGTGTGGTCGCAACGCTTTTAGGGAGGAGCGTTGCGTGACAACATTACGGACGGCGGCGTCTGCGACTACTTTTTAAAACTGTTTTCAAATAATTCCCCTTACTGTCGTTCACGTTTAGACAGTAACCATAATCGGATATTCGTTTTCTAACCTGCATTGTGTGGACAATTTTTTGGTGTGTAGACTGAAAGACAAAGGTATGAGTCTTCGTACACATTTGACATAGTTAACGTTTACTCTCTTGGATACTTTGACTGGAATATTGTTTGTTATTCACTCGCTTTAAACTTTTGACCTGAAAACAATACTAAAACTCTTTTTAAAGGTTTGCTATACTGACAACATATGCAATCAGTTGCGTCGACCCAGTTGTTCAAAACTTGGATAGTGCTATCCACTGACCAAATCACTAGCCAGTGGTTAAGTTTTTGAGAAAACCAATTTCATGTTCCACTGGCGGAATAGACATTTATCCAGTGCATAGCGCTCGCCGCCGTTTAAACAACTGAGGCCAGAAGTTTTGACTGCACTTAATTTTCCTCTCGTTGGTAAACCTCTAAAGACTTCCCTTGTCAATTCATTTTGCGATTTCTCGCTCCACGTTCCTATTTATTTGCGTTTCTTGGTCCATTCTTGATCTGAGGCTGATGCGCGTAATTTTCTTTCCAAGGAACGTGGATGATACGTTAGGAGCTTGTCCGACTTTCTGTTCCATAATTTTATCCGAAAACACAAATAGTTTTAATACTCACATTCTGTGAATCATTTCCGATTTGATCTCTATGTTTAATTCTCCAGTTTCCCAGGGAGTTCAGTCTTCGTTTGATCTGCTTTGACAGGTTGCTCACTGCTGTTTTTAATTTCTTTCTCCATTTTACTTAAGTTCTTCTCCATTTCCCCGAACTTGTGAGCCAAGCTAGAGGCTTTCCTCTGTATTGTGTCTGTTCGTTCCATCGATCTTTGGAGTCGTGATTCACTCTTGAATAGACTGGCCTCAATGACTTCCAGCTGATTTGTCAGGGTTTGAAATCTGTCTAGTAGTTCCTCGTATTCCATCATGATGTAGTAGATTATATCCAAATGTCCAAACCTCGTATTTGTTTCGCATGTGTTGGTCTTGTTGGTCTTGCTCGGCAAACGCCGATTTATGTGAATGTGAATTTCTTTGAAATCGAAACGTTTGGTCGATAGATAAAAGCCGCAACTTCAATGTTTTGTTCGGGGAAGAAATGGCACGAAAGTTGAAAGGAGTTCGAAACAGGCAAAAGTGCGACTACCAGGGAAGCGGCGAATTAAAATCAAAATTGTCACCACTATATTTGATTTTTTATAATCCTGTAAATAAAACTGTCAAATATAAAGCCGGGCTCTTCAGTAGATTTTTCAAGTGTTATTGACAGTTTGAAAAACTTCAAACTTTTTATCTCGACGCTTCCTGCCTCTTGTTTTTGGTTGATGCTGAGGGTGAAAAATCCAGTGGCGGTAGAAACTTTAGACGAATCCATCTTTAAACTTTCGTGAATAATGCCGGCACATGAACGCCTTATTGTGATTCAGTTCAGGACGGCAAGTTTACTTTCTTCTCCTGTTTCTCTCAGTGGTTTAAGATGTCCGTTCTTTTAACGTTTTCCCAAAATCGTTCATTTTTTAGTTTAACTGACCCGCGGAAAAAAACCGTTTTTAGCAGCGCGAACTTGCTGTGCCTGCGAAAAGTTCGACTCATAGTTGTTTCAAAAATTCAAGTAACGTCTAGAATACGTCAAGTGTGCCTCTTTTAATTTGCTTAAAGCGAAGATCCTTTTAGGTACTTAGTCAATACAGAGGGCCATAAGCCTATCTATCGGCATAATTGCCGGATATGTTCTTCCAGAGACTATACTTAGCAATAAAGCCTTTATTGAACTATTAAAATTAGCCTGCTTAGGCAGCCAGTATTAGAAGAATATTGCACGATCTTGTGTTCGTAAAATCGATTTTTCCCCAATACGGACCAACGCACTATCTTAACAACATCCGTAACGATTTGTTCATATTTTGTTTTTGCAGCCACAAGATGGGACGTGGCGAGGTAAGCAGGGTTTCTGCCGCTCTGTCTATTAAAATGTCACACGATTTCAGATCAGACAAAGCCATAAGCCTGCCATAGAGATTTATCAAACTAGTTCAAGTACTTATATCGAGAGTAACAAAAAACAAATCCATGTTGAATAGTTTTGTTTTGCTCTTTTGTGAAATTAACCGGAATGTTTGTCGCCATACTAACGAATCTCTCAATATTTTTCATAACCAAATATCTGTCAACAGTGGGATCCATCCTTATAAATTATATTGATATGGAAATAAGGGGATCAAGAGTCTTCAAATAATTTTAATTACATTTTAAAATTGTATTGATACAATGTAGATACAAGTGCAACTACTGCGTATAGCGTCGTTAATATGAGTTGTTGCAATCTTTGACCCTTAGTTTTGGTTAAATTAATTGTGTCGGTTTATATGTTTTTTTCCTCCGTTAACCGCTGGCCTGTAGCAATTTCTTTCTTTTTTGTTGTTGTTGCATTTTGTTATCGCAGGAGACCTAAAGAGTTCTATGTCCTCCAGAGCAAATTAAACGAGTTCCATGGTAGGTCTTTAATATATTGCTTTTGTTTGTTTATGCCGCAGCAGCAACACAAACACAGCAGTCTCAACAATCAACGTCTACTCACTGCTCCCCAGCAAACCAGCAAATTATGTAATCCGTACCCAAATACAAACTTTAAGCTGTTTTCTGAGTGAATCAAACTTCATTTTGTAAAACTGCTTTCGTTGGCTTAAATTTAAATCGAAAAAACAATAAAGTTTAACATAAGTTCCATATAAGCCACGTTCGTAACAGTCCACAGGCAAAAATATTCTGGAAAGTCTGTGGTAACCTGCCCCTAATGTAGAAGGGTTTTTGCCTGGAGGACTTTGGGGGAGCAAACAAACGAAGAACCAAACAGTCCGACCAACATTTTTAAAATAGAGTGAAAACCTATGCCAAAATTTTAAACGGCATTTTGACGTGTTCGTTAGAAAAATAAGGAAATAAAACGTAGCCAATTTTATTATTTATAGGTCTTCTTCCAGTGAAAGAATTAGTTAATTCTGCGTTTTTATCCTAAGATCTAGTGCAATAATTTGGTAGTGTCTTTTCAGGAGAGATCGATGACTCGCTACTTCCACCGAAGCGTAACACATCACGAAGTATTACACAGAAGACCACAGCTGCTTATTTTGAAGCCTGCCGAGTGCAATTTGAGAGGTATTTACAGGTGAGTTTGCATTCTTCCGTGTGATGTCCGCGTCGATCTTAGGCCCGGTTCAGACACCGATCCACTCATGTGCCGAACCTAACTGATGAATTAAGTACGGCAAAAGAGCGGCGTCTGCATCAGTTTGATACGGCAGTTTTAATTTGGTGCGGCAGAAACCCCAAGCGGCAGAGTCTGTCGTATTATTTGACACTGGAGCGGCCGGTGATTCGGTAGCAGCTGCTCGGAAGAGAGGTCACCAATAGTGCCTAACCCTGACCCCAAACAATACTAAAACAATTGAAAGAATGACATGTCATTGTTTTCTGCGACCAATCAGGAGAGAACTTACGAGCAGCTCCTACACAACTGGGTGATTCTCAAGTGCCGAACCTATGCATACAGTAAATTTATATTTTTTTCTCACAATACCGCTCGTTTTTACGTATAAGCCCATGGCTTACAACCGGCGGTTTAAGGTATTTTGTGTTCATTCTTTCTCTGTTTTTATTGTCAGTATCTCTGTTCCAATCCACTGCTGAGAGGAAGCGCTCTGCTCTTCAACTTTCTCTCACCTGATAAAGAATTCAGTAACATGTTTGTTCCTGAAAAAGTTGGCGACAAAGCCGGTAAGATCGCTTTAACTTTTTTCGTTTTAGTGTTAAATAGGTGGGTCAGTCAGAAAAAAAGCATCTGCCTATGCTTTTTATTTTTTCCCGAAGTTGAGACGAAATGGCAAAAGAGAGTTATATCTTAGAGTGCTTTTAAAAAATCATTTACTCCCTGACATACCGTGTTCTAATTTTTCTGGTCTTAACGTTTCTTTTTTGCTTTCCGCAAAAAGAAATATTACCGCAAATTGGAAAAAACGCTCGAACTTTCCGCCCCCAAATTTATTGCACTGTAGTTCTATACGCAAATTCGCTAAACAGGACTTATTAAAATAGTGTCTTTAATGTTATCAGTCCATTTCATCGCGGCTCTCTGTAAGCTGCAGACGTGAATACAAATGTACCCAGCAAGAAAAAACCTCTCTGTCCTAATCGCAAAAATTAGTTTCCCGAAAAACACAAAAAAATCGAAAATCCACAAAAATAAACTCCCGCAAAAATTTTGTCCCACACGCTATCCTTTTTTCTATATTTATACTCGCACATGTTCCTCTTAGAGTTGTGACATTTCCGTGTATTTTTTGTTTTTGTTTTAAACCATTCGATTCCTCTTGGATACACAGGCAAAAAAATTAAATCCATGACGACGATACTCAAGAAAGAGGTGGGTGAAATATTGTATTCCGTTAATGGCAGTGTTAATGGAATTAGAATAGAATTACCATTGAGTTACTGTTTAACCAAAGCTCCCAGGACTCGCGTGTGTTACGTCCCATGTAGTAAGGGTATATCCGAGAAATTTTGCTTGGAGAATTCGGAATCCTGGGCTTGTGGAATCCGGAATTCAGCTCTACGAATATAGGATTCTGCTTGATGATCGGGATTTTGAATTCAAGTTCCACTGATAAGGAATCCGTAATCGATTATCTGGATTCTAGAATTTAAGTCGGTCTTGGATAACCTTTATACTGGTGGGGTGAGATATAGTAAATTCGTTCACTGTACTGTGATATATATTCAGGACACTGACCAATTCGTGTTGCATGGTCATTGTCTTGTCTCAGTCTTAAATGTTTAACACCGTCTTTATTATACGAATGCCAGTGCGTGACCGTCTTTCCTAAGCGACACTTATCCAAAAGACCAGAATTTCAATTCATACTCACAATACTGAAATTGAGAACCATTCGTGAGCTACTAGCTTGCAAATCTCAGCATTTTAATTGGTGGCTTGCCGGGAGGCAATAGTGTAGTTTGTGTGTCACTTATCACTATATTAGATTATGTTCACACCATATCGGATAGCTCCTCGTGCCGACACGTACAGTTATCCCCCGGTATAGTGTGAACGTCTATTCGATATGTGACTCTCTACTTTAGAGGTCAGCGCGGCGCAGCTTGGCTCCGTTATAAGGGAGTTTTAGCAAAGTCGACGGCGACGGCAACGAGAACGTCAAAAAGCAACAGGTTTATTAAGCAAAACATCAAGTTTGCACGTGCATCGCGCTTTTTTGTACATTTCTTGCGTGCCGTTACTGCACGACTGCGACGTGAAAATGCCTAATTTCACGTTTTATGGAGGACTTAAACGAGCGACGACGAAATTTTTTTTCTTTTTCTAAACTTGAGTGCAGTCCCCAAGAAACCAACCCCAGGGAAATTTGCCTACATTAGATATTTTCAGCGAATTGGAATAAACGCGACAAAGTCTGAAAAAAAGCTAATTCATTTTCAAAGTGACGTTTTCGCTGCCGTCGACGTCATCGATGCTAAAACTCCTTATAGACCATCGCGCTGAAGTCACGTTTTTGTGTGTGAACAGAAACCCTATCCTGTATGGTTTTCGTGCCGGCGCAAAAGCTGTTCGGTAGAGTGTGAACAGAGCCTCAGTGTTCTGAGTTGAATTTTTAAAATGAGAAAAGACTGGCCGACCTTTTAAAAAGAGTGTTCATATTCTGGAGTCTATAAGGGGAATTTAACACTAGAATTTAACTTATTTTCCAGAAAGGACAGAATCTTGATTCTTTTCTACAAGCGTTTTTGTCTTCCACGGTAGAGCCAACAAAACGAAAACCACTGCCCAAGTAAGTTGCTGCATTGATGGAATTTTCTCTCAGTTTTTCCATTCTGATCAATTCGCAGTTTTTGTAGTATGACGTTATGAATGTACAATTTCTTTGTTTTCTGCAGAGGCATTTTAGAACAGTCACAAAGGCGAAGCGAGGTAAGGGTTTGGGATACTATTAAGAATCTTTCACGCTGTAGTCGCAATAGTGCTGTCATAACAACAACAACAAACTTTATTGATAAACAGATAATATTACAGAAGCATTGCCCGCAGCTAGTAAGGCTATTCGAGGCTGGACAATGCTTGAAAAATATGAAATTAAGACTAAGGTTAAGTAGTAATACTGGTTACTTCATCACACAGCCAATCAGAATCGAGTATTTCAAACACGTGACTGAATTAATTCACTCTCGACCAATCAGCGTCCAGGACTTCATGGGGGTTAGTACTACATGTAAAACCATCACGAAAAGTCTCCCAACATTCCCCCGTCATGTAAGACACACGAGAAGTCATGTTTCAACCAATTTTATTCTGACGTCATACCTAGCGTTACAATCGGG